TTTTTTGATTATTCATAGATTGATTTATTAATTTAATTGATCGAATTCTATTGATAGATGTCTATAACTCTCTTAGATTTGAAAAATAAAATACAACTAATCAAAACAATGCAAAATATGATTTTATCTTTTTTAATTTTAAATTACATTTACGAATAAAAGAAAAGTTTCATTGAACAATAAATAGCTGAAAGGAGATGTCATTATTTAAAACCAATCAATGATTAGTTAAATAGTCTATTCTATTCTATTCAACCATGACAACTAGCACCCCGATTATTTCTTTCGTGTTCGTTCTATTTTTATTCTTATTTTCTTTTCTTTTCTTTTCTCTAATTAATTCTCTTTCTCGTAGAGAAGAGTCTAGTAATCATCAATTGTTTGTTTGCTTGATTGATTGTGTGTCCGCAGGGTCAAAAAAACATCGAAAACCAATTTTTAGAAAAACATATCTCTAGAGGTTTTTCGATGCGAGGAGTTCGAATCTGAGGTCAGTCGGGTGACCACTGTTAGGGGTGAGTGGGTGTGAGCGGAAGGTCAAAAAAACATCGAAAAACGATTTTCCGGAAAAGACATTTCTAGAGATAATTCGATGCGGGGACTTCGAATCTCAGGTCTGTTGAGTGACCATGGTTAAGGATACGTGGATGAAGAGAGGGCGGGGTGTAAAGGTAAAAAAAACATCGAAAACTGATTGTTCACGGTTTCCATTTGTTTTTCCGGTAAATGTGCAGAAAATGCATTTTTACGAGAAAGAGCTAAACGAGTCCTCGGAGGAGCGTTACTTGTATATATTTGTTTAATAAATGAATCATTTTTAAAAGTTGATTAATAATAATTGAAATTATTTTTTTCAATTTTATATTTCATTTTTAGTTTTCGATGAATTCTTCTTCTTCTAATAAATCATCATTTGATAGAATGGAACAAATTCAAGATATTTTTGTTCAAATAATTATTGATGGTGCAATTGTTTTAAGTGTTATCGTTTTATTTCTTATAAGTTTATTGACGATATTTGTATTGTTTATTATGTATGGACCTTTATCAAATATTCTATTACGATTATTACCAACATTAACACCTGTACCAACATTACCACCTCAATCACTAACTCGATCATCAGTATTTCGACCAGCTTTGGATAGTTCGGGTGATCATTATTGAATAATATAAATCAAATCAAATGTCTATTATATTTTTTATTATTTGTAAAATACATTTATAGAAGAAGAAGATACAGAAAGAAATTATACATGTATAATATTTGAGTTTAAATAATAAAAACAAGCATTGATCGAAAGCATTTGTTCAACAAGTTGATATGAAAAACTAATGAATGAATATTTCAATAAAAATTATTCTTTTAAATTAAAAAAAGTAAAGTTTCTAAAAATTCGAGGTTCGTGAACGTGACCTTGTATATCCCTTCTATCAACCATTTTGTAATTGTGAACAAAAAAAGGAAGCAGAGATTTTTTATTATTTACTTCTTTTTTCTTGCGTGTCTAAATAAATAAATCTGTTTCCTGCAGAAAAGGAATATATTTGTTGTATTTATACTTAATAGAATTATTGTAAGATCACATTTGACAAACATTTTATTGTACGAAAACAAACAGAATTTATGTAATACTCATTATTTTTCTTTCCCGCGATATTTTATAGTGAAATATGGTTAGTATTTAGACATAGATTTTTCTTCCACCTTAAATTTTATAATAATTGTTCCATATTTATTTGATCTAACTGTTGCAATGAAAGAGATCATCATTAAATTATATATGAATTTTGATTCACATATAACCACAACAATTATAGTGACACAAAAACTTAAAAATGATCTTGACAAGAACATTGTCCATTGGTATAAAAATGATGAATGCAACTAGCATCACGAACAATGATTTCACATTTCCGTATTTTTGCAATTAATTTTGTTGCTTCATCTTAAAATCGATCAACTATCTATTATCTTGAATAATAGTAAATGAATTACTTACGACAATCACCACAAACTCGAAGATTGTTAGTAATTTGAATCATTGAAGGATTTGATCGTGCAACAAAATTGAATGCAATAGCCAATCTTTCACTATGACCGCATAACACCGATTCAACAGTTTCATTTTTCTGTAATGGACGAGTCATCCAAGTTGAATCATATTCATGTCCATATTCAATTAATTCAGCAGAGATTTGTTTAAGTTCAGTGTAAATTTCTTTCGATTGAGGATGAGATTGATCATGAGCTTTGAATTGCTATGAAAGAAAAAGAAAAAGAAAGTTGGATTTATTATTATTGGTTAAATTTATATATTGAAGAAAAATCTTTACCACAATTGTACCATTTACTTCAGTCCATGATAATCCGACTCTAACTTCTTTACCAAATTCTTTTATTCGATCTAATCGAATATCTCCTGCTCGTTGTGAATCACCCAGCGATGTATATGTATTAGCAAGAAGAATAGAAGCAGATATGAGTGCATCTTTTTCACCAGGAAATAAACTTTTCATTTTATTATAAATGTTTTCTGATATAATTGAATGACGACGATTACGTGCACCAGATAACATAGCCACTAAAATCAAAAAAATAAATAATGAATTAATAGAAAATTCTCTATTGATATTATACATACTATACATGAGTAAAGATGGTGGATTTGTTTTTTCATATTCATTTATCAATTTTTGTGCTTCATCGAACAAAAAAAGACGACTTAAACAATCAATCTAAATCAAAAATAAAATGTTCATATTCAACAAGAGACGACAAAGTTAAATAAATCGAATAGAGAAACAAACCATTGTGGTAATTATCCTTTCTGTTTTATTAGAAATTTGATTGAAAATCGAATAAGCTTCACGATGAAGAGCCGAATGAGAACATGCATTCAATACACAAATATGTGATCTTTCATTGTGTAAATTATTCGATATTTTTTTATATAATTTAATGGCTTCGAAACCCATACGATTAAGTCCAAATGCATTAACTTCAAATATAAAAAAAAGAAAATAATCTATGATCAAAGTGAAAAGAATCTATTCACTCATTGCATTATATGTAATAATATTAGGATTATTGATTGATTCAAAAATCTGTTGAGCATTTTTAATTGAACCAGCTTTGCCCTCGAACAAAATGGAATAAAACATATTATTTTTAATTTAAAATCATTAATATTTACCCACATATCAATTAATGAATTGTTTAGTTGTATATTCTTGTAGAAATGTAAAGGTATTTGATTAACAATATATTGACATCTTGATAATAAACCGGTTTGTGAACAAGTACCAATAAGTAAGATAAATATGGTTTCATTGGGTTTAATATTTTCATGTTTCATTTGTTGAAAAAGATTGAAAGATTTCAATGGTTGATTATTTATATTGTATCCGTTTATCATAGCACCATATGTAATGATATTTTTCTTTTTACTCATTTGTAAAAATTCTTCAGCTTTTGTTATATCCCCAAATTTCATCAACATATGTATTGATGAATTTAGAAGTGAAGTTTTATTTTGAATATTCTGAGATATTTTATCAACAAGTCTTCTTCCAATATTCATTGCTCGTTGATTAGCAAGTTGAGCACATGAACTAAATATAGTAGCTATTGTATAATCATCCGGATTAATTGTCATTTTATCATATAAATCAAGTACTATATCTGCTCTATTATGTGTATTTAAACCTATAAGAATAAATTAATATTGAAAAAAAGAACATTGAAAAAGATCAGAATTGTGATATTAACCTTTGAAAACAATTGTGTAAAGATAATTCGATTTATTAGCTATTCTAGAAGATATATTTAATACTTTATCGATATCACCATTTTGAACTAGAATAAACAAATGAAATTTCGTTTTTGTTCAATGAATAATTGAAAAATCGCTACTTTACAATGAAATTGAATGAGTGATGTTTGAATAAAAGAACTGTTGAATGATTTTGATGAAAGATTTTTCTCAATATTTTTAATACGTTCATAATCATTTAATTGAATACATGCTTTAATTGTCATATCAATAACAAAATCTGTACACATTTCACAATGTTTATCATAAAGATTTAAAACTTTTTTATATTCTTTTGAATCTATCAATTTCTTCATTGTTGAACCTAATTTTATCGATGATGATGATGATGATGATGAGGATGAATACATAAAACATAATCGATTTGTTTGTCGATATATGATTAATAATTGTTGAATTTTTGAAAAACTCTTCGTTGAAAACATCCGAACAGAATGAAAATCAAGTTTATATATAAAAGTAATTAATATAAAAACAAATTAATAAAATCTACTATGAAGTTTGCAAAACTTTCTTATAAAATACTAGATGATTATTTTTAAAAAAAAATGAAGAATTTTTTCATGTTAAAATTTATTCAATAGAACTAATTGATTTTGTCATTATCTAAAAATTATAAAAACATCTAATAAATCTATCAACGAACGATCTTTTTCTTATTTCATTGAACTATTATATTTACTTCACTTGTTGCTCTTTTCGTTTTTATTATTATTATTATTATTTAGTTCTTTATCAAATCAAATATCATTTTTTTCTGAATATATATTTTGGTTTTCTTCTTGCCCAATAAATATATTTATTCTATTTAGAAGATCCTTATTCATAAGAATCAAATAAAAATCTATCTAGTGTGACATCTATTCCAAAAGAAATTTATTGTTTTAGTAGATTCGTTCAGTTGAGTTAGGGTGTGAGGGTAAGCATATATATCTAACGTCCTCATCCTCATCTATATCCTCATCCTCACCCTCACTTTTCTATTAGAAATTATTTATATTAGAATTAAATAAGAAAAATAGATTTTATTTTATTTTTATTGATGAAAATGACATATTTTGAAATAAAAGTTGTTTTATTAAATATTACAAGATTTGTATTAAATATTAATAACATATTTGCGTGAACAGAACTATCTTGATCAAATGAATATAATAAAAATGGTCCTATATTAGATGCTAAAAGAAACAAACAAAGAAATAGAGAAAGAAAGAAGAAAAATAAACCTTGTAAACCAATAGTACAATTAATCCCACGATCAGATGCTTGATAATATTTAATATGAAGAATATTTGGTAAATTTTCAAAAAAATAATTTGAAAATGATAATATCCTCTTGGCTGTTGATAATGACTCATATAATATTCAAATGTTAATTGACGATTCGGATAAATTCCATCAGATTGATAATAAATACCTTGAGATGTATTGAAATAAATATATAAATCATCCCAATAAGGAAAAACAGTTATATTTGGAAATATTGTTGATGGTAAACGACTTTCTGTGAGGGTGTGGTTGTGGGTGTGGGTGTGGGATGTGGGTGGGTGTCGGGTAAAAGTTGATAAATACACACGCCCACACCCACACCCATACCCACCCACACCCTGTATCATATTAACAGATATTTCGATATACTAAATAACAAATATCTAGTTCAGAACAATCGATTATCAGGCATGATAAAAATTCCTTTCAGATATGTGATTATGAGCACTAATAAAAACAACAACGAATACAGCTTTATCTAGAAACCATTTATATTTGTTTTTACAAAATAAACCGATACGACAACCATGCTATTAATGATATTGAAATAATTTTTGTTTAAACAAGTGTAGAACGTAGTGAGTGTGTCCTACTAATATAATCAGACTTTTATTATTCAATCTTTCATTTAGCTATAAGCGAGTTTCTCAAAAAATAAACAATTGATTGGGATTTTCGGAGTTAATAATATAAAAAGAAATGAATTTTGGTGAAAGTGAACATCTATTTATTTTCAAAGCGATTTAAAGATAAGAATAACATATAAATGAAGCTATTGTTTGTCAAACAAAACTACTACATTATAATGTTAATATGCTTCGATCTTTATCAAAGTCGATAAAAAGTAAATAGATGCATAATTCATTGCTATTTGATTATTGAGATTGAGGTGTTATTCAAGTCAACTACGAATCAAGAATTCGATTTCAATTAATGATTATATCAGTGTAATGAGTTCGTATGTATGAAAAAATGATTTTTGATAAATGGTTATCTATTCTTGTTGAATGTGAATAGCAGATATTGTATACATACTAACTACCTACGTTTCAGTGTTACACGGTATTGAACGAAGAACTTGTCATAGAAATGTAAGAATATATCTTGATCAAATTATGTTAAAGATGAGAAATCGAAAATACATACCAAAGAAATTCTTGAAGATATTCTCTAATCATTAGTAACTTACAAAGAGATTATTTGAAGAAGAATTAGCGTATGATAAACAAACTTGTCAGCAATGTCTCAAAAATCACGCCAGAATATTCTCCATGCATTTGAACAATTTATTCGCTTTTTTATTTCTTAAGTTATTATGATCATCTATTACTTATCTATGTAGTATTTATACCTTATATTCAGTATCTCAGAACATAACGAAATTTATTCAATTCAAGAAAATATTCTGTCTATTGTGCACATTGCGTCTGTTTGCATCTTATGATTCATTGAAATAACTACACGTGGTTGTATAATTTTTTCCACGTAATCAAAGAATAAAAAACTTGCACATGTGTCGCGCATACATTGCTATGAAGTATTTGTAATTATTCATAAATGAGTACAAGATCATCGATTTAATTTAATAGTGATAATAACCATCCAATATTAATTATGACTATGGATTCATCATATCAAAATCAGAGACACAATGATTTACTTCTAGTTTTCATGTATGGACTCATCATGATGATGATGATGAAAAAAACGAAATAGAACTAGTAATAAATTATTGATGTAGTATAAATAAAGATGAAGAAAACCCTTGAAGAGTTATGATAGATTTTAAAAAAAGTTTAACATTTATAGATCTAACTTAACAATAAATTCACATAAATAATTATTTGTACATTATTTAAATCAATTATCAGGAACTCTTTAATAGTAAGTATCGACTTTAAAAAAGATTTTTATTATTTTTATGTTTAGTTTGATAAACTCAAAGCTTTCGTTCACAAACATTCTCCTGAAAAAGTAAATTAGATATTTGTATTAAATGAAACTATAAAAGTATCCATTTAACAATTATATAAATATATATGTATCCTTACTATGTAAATTAATACTGGCAATAATTACAACAAAATGTATTAATTTAAAAGAATATACTACATCTTTTTTAGTTACATCGAGGGAGAGAGAAAGTGAGAGATAGTACTTTATTTATCTTTGTGAACAGAAATGTTAGGTGCAGTGGATCCTTCAGTTGATTGTAAATTTTATCGAAATATATAGGAGATTTTTAGTAAATTCTATTAAACAGACTTGACTAGAAAAACTAGTTGAAGCTATCATCATAAATAAGACAACTTTTTTAAATTTAGATGTATAATTTAATCTTAGCGATGATAAAAGGTATGTAGTTGAATGACAATAAGAAATGAATATATTGTCAATTTCTATATACAATGTTAGTCCACTTCTAATCATCGAGGTTTGAATGATAGCATTACTTCACATCAAAATGTTATAAGGGAAAAACATCGAAAATCAGAATAACAAGATAAAGTGAACCTTCAATACACTATTGTTTTCAATATTTTACATAGAAAAATTGTTTTAACATCAATTCTTCAATGAAAATCATTTTTATTATATGAATATCTTTTATTAACAAAACAATTCATTAAATACACTACTATGAAAAATTAAATGAGCTGAAATAGTACGAATACATGCTCATCGTCCACTACAATTACTTTCAATCAGTGTCTAGATCATTCAACTAGATTTTGAGCAATTATCAATGATGTACAAAAATCAAGATAAAATGTTGTTATTTTTCAAGTAAAAGTAAGTTTTATTAGAAATCAGTCAATCTACTTAGATTACAATAGTGAAGTTTATCTAGCTACAAACAGTTATTTACAATTGTCGTACGTTAGAGCATAAAAATGATATAAATGTTAGTTTTTGTTGGTTACATATTTTTAAAATGAAAGTTCGATTTTGAAAAAAAAATGTTTTGTTAATTATAAATAAGATAAAAATTATGGAATGCCACAGGAACTGTTCAACATAATGGTAAGACATTTTGTACATAAGCTCCACCCATGTTTCCACCTGGAAAATAATTTCCAACCACATACATGGTACTATTATCACTTGTCACTGCTCTACCAATACCTAAGTTAGTTGTACCTTTCCAAACTACTTGTGTGAAATGTCCATAGCTCATTGCATTAGAGCCAGGATTTGACCAATTGTAAGATTGGATTTCATTATACCAGGCGTCAACTGGACTTGCACCTTCGAATATAAAAAAATTCAAATAAAAATAAAAAAATTCGAAGATTGTTTACCTTTATTATATAATAATGATCCACCACTCATCGCAAATATATTTTCTCCCATCCACTGACCGTTGAATTTATTTCCACTATGTGCAAATATATGAGTGTCAGCTGAATGCTGTGCATAGGTTTGTGCTATATCATTCAATGCTGGGTCTAATGTTAGAGGCGGTACACAATGTTTTTTACGTAAAAGATTATGTTCATCTAATGCTTGTTGTCGATATGTGTCCAGACTTATTGATGGATATGGTGCTTGTTGTTCTAAAATAATGTTAAATTTGAAATATTTAAGATAATAAAATGGTTAAAATTAATTTTTTTTAAATTCACTTACTAATACAAGATCCAGTTACATACTGCCCATCAGTTGTATTGTATTGTATTGTAGTTAGCAGCTGACAGATTTTACTAGATGCTCGATATTGCCATGCCATGCATGTTGCTGATGCATCACATTGACTCATGCAGTCTTGATATGTAGCCACTTGCTTTATTGCTGGACCGTTATTAGTACCACTGTAATAGCAGCCTGATAATACTTCCTGGCAGTGCGTTTCCTTTGCAGCTGGACCTTTAAAATAAAAATTAAAAACAATAATTTACATGCTATTTTCGCCAATAACTCAAATAGTCATATTCGTACCGAACTTTTCACTATTTCTAGAGTAAATATTACCTTCTTATATGATTGTTCACAACGATATTGTAAAAATAATTATCTTATCAAATTCTCTTTTGTTTATTCTATGGTTTTATCGACAGATGCAAGTTAGAACTATTCTTTTACAAAGTAATATCGAGAAAAAGAAGCGGATGACAATCCACTTCTGTAGTACACTTACCAAGACAAGATCCACCATTTTTTAAGCCATCACCATATAATGTACGCAGCGATGTTTGAAGCCAACAACTCTTAGTGGAGTTTCTATATGACCATCCATAGCACTTACTATCATTTTCACATACATTCATACAATCCCGATATGTTGCAAGATTATCTATGACTGATCCAACTTCACCTCTATAACCCATGCCTGATAGTATTTCTTTGCACTTTGGTGTTGCATCTGTTCCTGAAAAATAATAGATTCAAAATTAGAATAAACATATCAAATAAATATTGAAATGAAAAAGTTACATTATAAAATAATGATTTTATAAGCATGATTAGAATTAGTATGAATAATTAAATGAAGTTAGAGATTAAAATCATAGAAAAATACATGATTATTTACTTTTTCTCCATTGTAAATTGTCATCATTGTTTAATCGAAGACGTTTCAGCAATTGTCGTAAATACGAGATTGATGCATCACGCTGCTCATATCTATTATCGAAATCTTCGAGAGAATATGATTGAGCAGTGTTTATTGAGAACAAAATTGTAATTATATAGATACAACTTAAGATTCTCACAGTTTCAGCCAATTTAATCCTATATAAAATGTAAATCAGAAATATTATTTTCAATTCTTCAAAAATGCACACAGAAACTTTTAAGAAAATAGCATCTATATAAATTTCTGAACCAAAAATAAAATTGGCTTTGTGATATTATCTCATAACAAAAGTCTGTATCAGTCATTTTGTACACGAAGAAACAAAAAATAAAAAAATAACTTACTGTATCATATTTGAATAATGTCCAAATGTTATTCACTGTTTGATTAAAAGAAAAAGTGAATAATAATACTACATAACAAAAATACACATATTTAAACATTTATCAGACACTGTGATTATTCAGGCATAAAAAATAAAAGTAATGATAATACGAACATAACTGCTTGTATTTTTTATTCTTGTTTTGTCTTTCTTACCGGTATCTACAGTAACTGAATGAAAAAAACAAGGTCTAATCACCTATTTTTCTATTTAAATTTGTGACAAACTGATACTTATCGACAATGTGTCACTGCTATTTTCTTTGATATACCCGATGAAGCATAATAATATAACGAAAAGACGACATTCGATTAGCTTTGTCTCTTTCTACTTTTCTCATAGAAAACAAGAAAATCAGGTGGACTCAACATGACCTTTTAAAAATTTGCAACACGTGATTTATTTCAATGGTATCGATTTAAACTAATTAAAAGTTGAAAGTTAACAGAAAGAAACATCAAACAGAGTTTTATTTGTAAAAATCTTCTACAAATAACAAAAAATAATTTTCATCTGAAGGTTTTAATGAAACATATTGAATTCTACTTCGAAAGTACTGGGTACACAAACTAATTTTATTATTTAGATAAGATATTGTTGGTTAACTTATCAATTTGTTTTAATGAGAAATCTTATTTGAACAAGATTATTCCAAGTATATGATCAACTGTAGAATATTTGATAATTTAATTTTATCTTGCTTATTTTTCCAATGAAAAAGACACGACTGAAATATTCATATAAAGCAAAACGTTCCACTTCGTTGAATAATAATTTACATGTGAGTGATGATAAGAAAGAACAGTAATACACTCTGTTATAATGCATGTTAACATAAGAAGTCATACTCTATTCATTATATTTTCTACAATCTAACCTCATTGCAACATCTAATACCACGAAATTATATGAAATATCTGCCCCAGGCAACAACCAAGTATTGCCCGAAAATAATTTATACAATGAACAAATATTCGTAAATAAAAATTTAGAAAAATGCCGAGCCGTTGTATATAAGCTCAGATAATAATCAAATAAGTTTTTTTCTCATCAAACAAGATATTCAAAGAGCATATAGATTTATATATAAATTATTAGTTATACTTGTTTTTATCTGTTGATTGATTCGTATTGAAGAAATTCAATGCACGAGTATATTAATATTTTGAAGAGTTATTATGTATTTATTGAAATATCTTTGATTTAAATAAGAGAATATCAATTAGCAACTGAGAAGGAGAAGAATATTTTGAATCCTAGTAGACACTCATTAAAAATAGTATTTTCTCTTTCTATCATAATTAAGAACAT